GGGCATATATGGTATCACTCTTGGCTGGAAGCAGTGCTTAATCAATGGAAAAAACACAAACTTTGTCCAAAAACCTCTCATGTTTAGCTGTTTTCCTCTACTACCGTTTGTCAGAACCGGTACCGGTACCCATCCCTACTTAAGAGATTAAGTATTGACTTTAAAAGGAAAAAGAAAATCCAGAAAAGATTCTGACTATTTTACAGGAATTGTATGGGTGTACTAAGTCATATGTATCTTTCTTTTCAAGACAAAAACAGGAAGTAGAACCATTGCAGGAATTTTCACATGCTCTTATCTTTCTAATGGATGGAGCTGTAAAACAGTCCCCTCATACTCCGCTGAAAAAAAAGCCTGTTTATCACAGAATTAATTTCTGTAATAAACAGGAAGCCAATGAAGAGAAGACAGGATAGTTGAAATATGTTCATGCCTTTGTGTACCAGGCCAGCAACATTGAACAAGCTGAAGACATGAGATGGATGCTTGGCTGTCTCCAGTATAAGGTGCATTGCAATATTCAAGCCAAGTTGAGATAAAGGTGTGTATTATTTCCTTCAAGTCATGCCTTGACAAAACTGGTTTAATCTTTGCTATTTGCCTAAACTGGAAAAGGATTTTCTTCAACACAGAACTGATTTGTTTATTCAGTTTAAAATCCAAGTCCATAATGACTCCCAGATTTGTGACATGCTGTTTGACCTAAGCCAACCATAATTGATAACTGGGTTGCATGAGATATTATTAGGCCAAAGTATAATTACATCTGTTTTGCTTTCATTCAAGCTCAAAAAGTTCAGAGCCATCCAAGCCATGACATCTTCAAAACAGTTTAAAAGGAATTGGATGGAGCCTGGACTATTAGGTGCTAAAGGCAAGTAAATATGGCATAGATCTGTGTAGCAGTGACAGGATATTTTGTGTTTTCTAAGAATAGAGTCCAAAGGGAACAAGTACAATGAAAAAAGAAGAGGACCAAAGATTGAGCCCTCAGGCACCCCACAAGAACACTGGGCGGACATTGACAAA